GGTCTACTGACAGTGTGAAGGGAGCAGGTCTACTGACAGTGTGAAGGGAGCGGGTCTACTGACTGACAGTGTAGAAGGGAGCGGGTCTACTGACAGCATAGGAAGGGAGCGGGTCTACACTGACAGACAGTGTAGAAGGAAGCCACACTGAGCACAAAGACACAAACACAAAACCTGAAAAGAACTGAGGCAGCTTTACCTGTAGTCAGGAACTAGGAGAGGATTAGGGCCCTGGGTAAGGAAGGGTGAGAAGTTATAAAGCTCAGCCTATAGCAGCCACCCAGCGGCCACCTACAGAATCCCTGGCAGAGACCACGACAGCAAGGCAGGCGGAAAGATTGGTCCACAATCATGGCTAACTACTTATTCCTCCTGGCTTCATAGACTAGCACAACTGTCCAAGAATGGGGAGATAAGGGTATACTGAATATACCATACTTTCCTCGATGTGGTGGAGACGAAGGAGGGGTTCCTCAGGAGCCCTACAGGATTCCCACTAAGTCAGTGCACGGGACAGCAACGGCATGGTATATTTGGAAAGGAGGTATTGCATGGGATTTTTCTGCCTCTACTGTGGATTTAGAGTATTTTTCAATGTGAGAGGGATGCCCTTCCCTGGAAGGGACAGTAGCATCAAGTACAGGAGAGTGCATGTCAGCAGTACTTACTTTCTGATACTCCTTTCTGGCTGGAACCAAGGTGGCTCTTCTCATCACTTTCCTCACCAAACCAGTAGGACTTGGTACAAGGAAAATACCAGGGCCTGGGAATCCCATACTGTCCTGAAAGCAAAGCACAGGCATGATCCAAGCTAATGCCATCTCAGCATTTCTGGCATTTTCTAGCCACACCCTCTTTCTCCTTGACATGATCTTTAGGGGAAAGAATAGACCGGAACTGAGATGGAGGTGGACCACTAACTTTTGCCCAAACCTGCGATGTAGATCATGTACTCTAAACATCTCCACAGCTTCCCAACAACCCCAGATGGCAACACCATCCTCACTTTAGAGATGAGCAAAGTGAAGGACACAGAGTCTACCCAAGGTCACTTACCCAGTAATTACCGACTTAGAATTTGAATCTCAATCTCTATGATGCAAACTGTATATTCAGTGGAGGAAGCTCAGGTTAAAAAGAACATTGCATATAGGCTTCCTCTACTTACTGGCTTCCTCAGAGGGGAGTCAGAGTGAACAAGAGCCTAAGTTCACCTCCTAAAATCTGATCTTGTATGTAAATGTATCAAAGAGGGTTACTGTTACACTTGGCAAAGAAGGCTAAGGGAAGCATCAAAATTAATTGTTACTGAATACTAATTTGACTAAACCATGGTAAGTGCTGAGATCCAATATAGTATATTATTCATAACCTGTAATTAAGAACCAGAAGCTCTCACAGGGCTTCCATCTCTGGGGACATAGAACTCCAGAACCCAGTCAGCACTGAGAGGAATCTACTGGGCTCTGACCCGGTGTGGTCCAACTGGGGTCATCCCCAAGCACCAACACTTAACGGTCATGTGACCTCAGATAAGTCACTTAAATTCCCAGTTAGATCTCTCATTTGGAAGCTGTTTACCATGGCAAACACCCCACGGCGATCTTCCGAATCAGAGGATGTAAAGTGCTTTGCATGGTACCTGGCACCCTGGGCTCAAGCAGGGGTGACATGGCGGTAGGAAGAGGTGTGCTTTCAGCACAAGTGACTTTCCCTGTACTATTTGTCTTTCACAGGTTTAAAGCCCAAGCCATTTCCTGGGGAGCCCCCTCATCCTTCAGCAATTGCAACACAAAGAAAAGAAAGGTCTAGAGACAGAAAGGGTCTTCCTATATCAGTTAGCCAAGGCAGTCTGGAAGCTTGGGGTACCTGGAAAGACGGCTTCGATGTACCATGTCATCACTCCATAGAGGAAAGTGTCAAACAGCATCATGGACACTGCGGTGGTGAGATTAAAGCCGTCTTCCTCCACCGGGCTCTCAAAGAGATTGTCCCACTGTACCCCGATGCCTTGCTCCTCAAAAAGGGCAAAGTATTCACAGCCAAATCCAAAAGCCACGGGAGACAGAAGGCTCTGAGAGAAGAAAGAGGCAAAAGTAATGGGTCTCTGTCCTTTTGCTCTCATTTATCTCTTCTAATGTAAATTCCACCTTGAGAAATTTGAATTTGCAAATTACATCAATCATAAGGCATGTAAGCGGTCTCCTAGAGTCCCTTTGAAGAAGCGGACTCTCTTGCAGCATATAAAATGATTTCATTTGCAAGCACTCATTATGCACACACATTTCAGAAATGCATGCATGAGAGCAGGTGAGACTTTTAGAACTGTATGCTTCCCAAGATATTCCAAGACTCAACAATCCTGTCCCCCATTCAGCCTCATACTGACATTCATCAAAGAACTTTTTCACTGATCAGTCATTGAATATTCAGGATCAGAGGAGCCACTTTAAGGCTTGACATCTATGAGACTCAGCCAGAGGTACTTGCAGTATGCTGAGAGCCTATTAATATCTTATCAGTGACCCAGGGGGGCAGCTAGTGAGTGGCTCTCACTGGTATTCTCACATGCTCAAAGACCACACCTACACTGCACAAAGTGAGAAAAAAATGTCCTGAGCAGGTATCTGTGGGAGGGTAAGTCATGTTCTGTCTTGTTCAGTTCAGAAATTATTACCCAAGTCCAAGTACCAAAAGGATATAAGAAAGACAAGCAAGGGTCATGAATGAACCACTTGTAGCCTCAAGCTATCCATGGCCATGATTTTGCTGTGAGCTTATTATGGCCAAAGAGCTAGTGCAGACATGGTATCTGTTGCCTACACTAGATGCATTCCCTAATGTTATTTATATCCAACCAGTTCAAGGTACAATCTGATCTCTGACAAAAATCAAATCCAACCAGTGATCATTATAAGGGCAAAGGAGAAACAATTTAGTAAGAGAGGAGTACAGAGTGAACATCCAACTCCAGAGTTCAGGGGTCAGTGGTGAGGGGTCAGGACTACAACCCTCACAGAATTACTCACAGCAAAGATCTTAATGGAGAAGCCCACATAGTCCTGCCAGGCTACGCACAGGACGTAGGGCAGGTACAGTGTGAAGTAGATGATGCCTCCACAGGCTGCGGCCAGGTTGGCCCGGGAGAAGAGCGTGCTAATGAGGAAGCACTGTAGGATGGTCACCACGGCAAACACAGACAGGAAGACAAACACCACGCTGGGGTCACTGTAGGGCAGCAGGTTTCCTAGCTGGAGAGGAAGAGTCTGGATGAATGTGGAGCCTCGGCAAGCCCAGTCACTCGTTCATGTGATCATAATGCTGGTTTTTACTCCTAACTCTTTCAGAGATAATGTAGGGGAACCATGCTGCTCAATTTTCTGATGCGGAAATCCAAACCCAGGAGAAATAACTTATTCGAGATTACACATGAAAAAAAAATCACAGCAGAATAATAGTAAGTGCAAAGTCTAGGACCTTCTACTTGATCTCAGTTAATAATTTTGCTCTGTTTCTCACCTGGCTTCTCCCTGTCTAAGGACAACTACTGCCTCTAAGAAAAAGTTGTATAAGACAACAGCCCATGCATCCTTTCTCTCCAAAAACATAGAAAAAGGCCAGATAACCTTAACCTTTCCCTGTTAGCTACAAAGTCTTCATTCACGCACTCATCTAAATACTCGTGAATATTCTGAGTCCTGAGTTCACCTGGAGGGACTGCAGACAGTGAAGCAGGCCCTGTGAATACGAAGTTATCTTAACCAGCTCCCACACACTGGCCGGAGGACCCATACCCTTGTCACAAGGCTTAGGTCACTGCCCTCATATACCAGAGCGTGAGAAAAAGGGTTGTTCCAGAACTGCATGCAAATGCATCTTGGTTCTGTCATCCTGGGGTGCTTTAGTGATGCTCTGGCCTGCCTTGAGCACTCAATGGGTCACCATAGGTAGGATACACTGAGGCAGTCCACAGCACATACTCTACACAGTACTTGGCATCCACGAGTGCTCAAGAGTAGTAAAATATAGTAGCTAGTGTTGAGATGAATGCTACATCCTTTGACTTTGTTCTCTGTCTCTCTCCTAGAAAACACTAACTTTTATAAGAGGCATCTTTATATGAAATAACTGTTGAGGCAAGAGAACTGAAGAGTAGATTCGTGTATGAGACAAAAACTTCACTGCCCAGACTCCACTTTAAGGGAGGGCTTACCTGGCTATAGGTAAAAGACATCCAGATGTTAGCATCTCTGTTGTCATAGCCAGGAGAGCTACCAGGCCCTGAAACACCCCTTTCCCTGGTGAGACCCCATCCAACGATTGACAAAATGGGAAGGAGGGTATAAGAATTTGGACTTCTCAGCTCAATGTGGGAAACTCTTGGACAAGCTGTATACTCTCCAGAGCACTCCACTGGGTTGCTTAATCATGTTTCCCTCCTCTCTCTGCATGACCCAGCATGTGCTCCATCCCTCCAGATAGTGATCCCTACTGTATCCATACATCAAAGTCTGCCTCAGCCTCTTCCTCCAGATATCCAAACCTGTACTATCATATAACTTTGGACTACTGCTTTTACAAACTTGGAAATAATCTCCACCCAATACTCCTAAGGATCAAACCTTAAGTACACAGTGGGGTACAGGTAAATGTGTGCTTTTCTGGAAGGAGTGGGGCCAGCTTACCTTCAAGATGACAACCAGCAGGCCAGCACTCACGAGCAGAGGGATGAGGCTGCTGATGAACCAGCTAAACCAGAGAATGCCATTGTCCAGACCCATGATCCGCATGGTCTCCTTCAAGCGCGCCTCCTTCTCATACACAATGCCCTTGATGATCACAGCCACAGAGTAAATCCAGGCCAAGGTCATGAAGAGAGGCATGGACCGGCTCATTACCCTCAGGAAACTGGAGGCACAGATAAGAGCATGGGAAAAAATGAAAGAGGCATGTGTCAGCCAGGCTAAGATCCAAGGCCTTGCATGTTGGAGGAAAAACTACATTTGGGTCACCTAGGGAAGGCCCACTGGACTCTCAAATGACCAAATGTTTCATTAGCAGTAGACAGAGATGAGATCCTTGGCTGACAGAGTATAGCCATCCAAAATTTCTTTAGGGGATCACTTTAATAACTAGGAATTGGGGGTAATATTAAAATAAAACGAAAGTTACTTTACTAAGAACTAAATACGAAGGGTGGGGGCAGAGTCCCATTTGGTCTCTCACGAAGGTCAGTGTCTCTAAGACCATCTCCTATTGACTGGCTTTCACTCTCACACTGCGCAGGAACACGCATGTACACCTGCACTCCACACGGAACTGCTTATTTAACAAAGACGTTGGCTTGTTGGTACACTCACATGTCATCGACATAACAGGGGTAGGGCATCTGTTGCACATAGACGCCCGTTTTCTTCTCGGTTCCCGTCAGCACTCTGATGATCGCCTGCTCCACCACATCCTGCAAGTAGGCAAAGCCCCCCCAGACGTAGCGCATATCCTCAAAGGGGTCAGCCCGGGGACCGGGGTCCCAGTACCTAAAACCAAACAACATGTGATCAAACATTCCTACAAGCACACTGGAAATTACCCACAGTTCCCCACTTTCCCTTGGCTACTCTTCCGATTTCTCTATTTCTCAGCTGACAAGTACACAGATTCTTGAATAGGAATAATCACAGTGAAAACACTCCTTAGGGGTCTATTTTTCTTTCCCTTTTATTGGTGACCTAACATTGCACCAGATGGGCATACTAAAATTTCCTCAACCTTACTCCCTTTTATTGGTTGTCTGCCTCTTTTCATAAAAATGTGTCTGGCTAGTGTGGAGACCCCCTAAAGGCTTTCTCCTGACTTTTAAGTCCTTTGAGTTAATCTTTTGAATAGGAATGCTGAAAGAGAAAGACTAAAATTTTATGGCCTTTGATTAACAGTCCCCAGCAATGAAGTTTTAGCAAAGTCATGCTGCTGCTGATTTGGTGTTGAAATTCCTTCCAAATTGCTAATAGAGTGCAGTCATAAAAGTCATCCAAATTATGTTCTTGACCTTGGTAAGATTGGGCTTGTGTGATGGCATCCAGCTTACCCATCCTTGATCTTATTGGTCCTCTCCACGTTGTCAATGTCCATTCGGATCTTGTACTTAACGTGATGGGGCAGTTCCACACTGCCAGGAGTGATTCCTGTGAACACGATACCAGCCCAGAACTTCCTCTCATCCAGCAGCTCCATGGACTTGTTGATGAGGCGGACTTCTGTTGGAACGGGCTCCAGCTTGTTCAGGTTGACACACTGACAGAAAGAAGGACAGTCTCATTATGACACTGGTGGCCATGAAGACAAGTGGTGGCCAGATCTCAGACTCCTTTGAGAGGCAGGAACTGGCTGCCCGAACTTCTCAATCTCCACCACCTAGTCCTCTCTAAAGTAGTTTTCCAGGTTTCAACCAAGCTTAGAACTGAGATTTATGTGAAATACTGAGCATTACCTCTGTTGTTTTGTGTGAGGAGAAATAATCCTATTTTATTCTATTCTGTTTTCTTAGCAATGCTGAGTCACGGCAACTAACCAATTAAATCGATAAGGAAAAATTCTAGTCAGCCTTTTTCCTTTCCATCATTTTTAGGATTAAAGTTTTAAAGCTTTATCTGTCCCAAATTAGATTAGATAAGTTTCATAAAGAATGCCCTCATAAGACAGCAATTTATTACTATTAGAATCTAGAATATCGAAACATGGAAAAACCTAGAAGATAATGGATAGAACATGGAGTCTATTTGAAGTAAAGCTGGAAGTAAGTTTATTTTCTCATGAAGCCGTTCATCTAGCGTTTATCTTGTCTACCAGGCCTGCAGGATATAGCTGTCTGTGACACCACACATTCATTCTAAGTCCTCCTTCTGCTTTTAACTTTATTTTAACATCTCAAAGGAAAACGCTCTTAGTCTTTGCTAAAGGATGTGCACAGCAGGCCCTCACCTCCATGAAGCGAGATATCGTCCGGATTGCCTGGCTGGTTTCATTGAAAGCTTCTCTCCACGTATACACAGAGCCATTTGGGGACTGACCATTCTCTGGGTTCTTGGCCAGAAATGCCATGATGTCTTGGGCGGTCCAATCTAATCCATCCAACTTCTGTTCCCAAAACTGGTCATTGCCTCTGCTGTCTAACAGCGTCTGTCATTCCAGGAAGAACGTGGGGATAGGAAACATCAAGTTCATGGTAAGGCACTATATCACACACCACACCCTTTTTCACCTGCTCGGTCTGTGTTTGTGTATCTTCACAGTAACTTGTAAGACACATTACAAGGCTTCTATTTGACAAAGAAGAAGACTGAAGTTGATCGATATTGGCCAAGGCAAACTGATGAGCTGAGACACAAAGTCAGACCTCTGAACTCACAGTCCACAGGCTCCCCACTGTACCAGACAGTGGTTAACCGTTTTAACTCTAACAACAGTAGTAGTAGTGTGCTGAGGGATCTATTGGCATCATAACTCACACAACTCCATGAGGGTGTAGCTTTGATACTGCCCATTTCACACACAGGAAAACAGAACTTCAAGGATGTTAATGTAGCTAACGAACAGGAAAGCCAGGCTGGAAAACACAGGCTCCCTGATTCCAGAACACCCACTACATCAGATCTCCCCTCTCTTTTGAGACATGGTCAGATGATGCCAGATAAAAACCCTATCTCTAGGCCGAGCCCACTCTTAAGGCTTAATTCAGGGAAGAAATACTGCTGGTTAATCCAAGTATTAGTAAAAGATGGTCTTTCCCAACGCCAGAACATATGATCATGATGAAAAGGAGGCCTGTTTCCCTTCACTTGTCAATGTGAAAAAGGTCACAGGTAAGCCATTCTGGTCCTCAACCAGCCAGTCCAGGGGGACTGGGGCAAAGCCTGTACAGAAGCCTTGCCAGGAAAACGGGGCAACTGCTGACTGGGCGAAATGCAAACAGCTGCCATGCTCATTTACCAGGTTCCAGGGGAAGCAGGAGGCCCTTGCTCTGCTGAGCTGGAAAAAAGCCTTAAGAGTACCTTCCTTAATCAGTCTTCTTTTCACTAACCTGGCAAGCTCTTCCCCTGGGTGGCTTCTTCCTTGTTGTTTTAATGGGAACATAATGATTTTACAGAGTGTATCTACTATAATCTCATTAACCATTCCTGTACTGCATAGCATTGAGTCTATCTCCAATTTCTCACAATAACAATTACAGTAATAACATTTTCTCTCCCATGAGGACTTCTTTAAAATTACTGCCATAGGATGCATGGGGGGGGGGCGTGGAATAAAGCTATAGCACACAATTCATTCTTTGTGGATTTTGAAACTTCCACTTCAAATTGCTTTCCACAAGGGAATAACCATGCACCCTGTCCCCGGTGAGGTACCCGTGTAATTTTTTTGTTAACAGACGCACAAGTGTACCTCACAAAAGTCCACAGAGGCATGGGTTATCGACTCTGAAACGACTTTATTTGGATACCTGGAAGTGAATGAACAAATAGGAACAGAGAGATGGGATGGTGGCACTTGGCTGAGCCCTGCCCAGTATAAGTTCTAAGCAGTATGGCAAGAGGACTTCTAGACCAAGAGGACATCCATACCCAGTGAGGTCACTGACCCTATGGCATCTCCAGAGAGCCTGAAAGGAATAGAAGACCTGGCATTTCACATGAAATACTAGATAGAGAAGAAGTAGGGCCTGGAGATGAAGGACCATGTCCAGTTCAGAACAATTAAGAAAAAAAAAAAACCACTCAGGTTAGGTCAGAGGGTTCTTAGGCTCAACAGAAAAGTGTCTCAGGTCCACAGGATGTACAACAGGAGCAGATAGAGCCAGCTGCTGCTCACTCATGCGATCTCTACCTCGCACCTATTTGTCTCCTACAGTAACGCATCTACATCTCCACTAAAAACCATCTAAGGCCCTCCTCCAAAGTTAAAGGTCCTCAGCTCAATACAGAGGCCCCCCAAGGCCTGTCATGCCTTTCTTTCCCATCTCTGCTTCGTTCCTTCCTATTCCACACCCAGGATTCGCCGAGATAAATCCCAAGTGAACACTACCACAGGTTTATAAGGACTTATCCCTTAAGAACTGAGAGTTTATGAGCAGCCACGGTCTCCAAAGATGCTCTTGATTTAAGAGCAGGGAAGGCCAGGCTTGTGGTTCATGCCTGTAATTCCAGCACTGGGGGAAGCTGAAATAGGAGGATTGCCATGAATTTGAGGTCATCCTGGGCTACATAGCAAGTTGCAGGCAAGTCTGAGCTATACTGTGAGACCTTGTTTGGGGTATTTGGGGGGGGGGGTTTGTTTATTTTGTTTTGGTTTTTTTTTTGAGTAGGGAAACATCTATGTATGCCCAAATTCAGTTAAAATTCTCTAAATCCCTGCGCTCTCAGAGAACAATCCTAAACAGTAGAAGTGTTGATCAATCCCAAGAAAAAGATCAGGGAAAGAAGCCTGGGGCACACGCTGCAGTTTACAGGGTTTCCTGTGGGAGAATCACACGAATCCCTTAGAAGAGAAAGACCCGAGCTGAAGGGAGACGCATGCACCAGAGTGTGACCTAGTGCCATGACTCGGCATCAACACATAAGATTGTTGCTCTTGATTTTCTCACCCAAGTGCCCTGTGTATAAAAGCTCCAAGTTGAGAATTCTGCACAGTTGTAACAGCACTGATAGATCAAAAAAGACTCTGGCTTCTTCAGATCAGTAGCCTGTCCCCCAGGGGACCCAGAGCACTCCTAAACTTCCAAAGAGCTCCCTCAAGATGGGTACGGTCTCTAAAACCCACCATCCTCAGGTCACAAAGGTTCAAGACCAGAAACCTGGCAAAAATCCTCCCTTGCTTCTTGACAGCAGAAGAAAGGAAAGGAAATGGCCTCCCTCACCATGGCAATAGGAAGTTGTCTAATGATCCCCGACTGAGGCTGAGGCAGGGATGATGTGATTAAATGGCTCTCATGCTGACACAAAGGAGACATGGCATTCTCAGACTGCTCTCCTCTGGATCCTGATTGTCTCTGGAGCACTCGTCCTTTTCAAGTGGCCCTGACATGGTACTTGCCATTCTCTCCACTCCATGACAGCAATGCTGCATTCACCCTGTGCCTAGGGAGCCAGTGCCTCTGACCTGTCTGCATGCCAGATCACGCTTCTGTCCCCATACCTCCTTCTAAGATCTACCGAGATGCGGGCAAGCTACAGAAGATACTGTGCCTACCTTAGTGGCTGGAGCCAAAATGAAGATACTCAGTGTCCTGCAATCACCAAACTCTACTTCCAGTTTCTGGTCTTGACCTGGTTTTGTGCAAAAACTGCTACTGGGCCATGAGAGGCACTAATGCTGACATACTCAGGCCTGTCACTGCACCTTGGTCTTGGCTTCTACGGAGGTGGTGGCTCTGTGGCTTCAGTTAATCTTACTGCATCTCAATTGGTTTAACTCACAGAATTATGATCTCAGGCATTTCTGGGAAGATGTCCAGAAAGCTCTTCTAGATCAAGCAAGTAAAGTGAGCAGGGAAACACTCACCCGAACAAGGTCCATCTCTTGGCTGCTCTCCATGAAGGTCCAGATTTGGGGGCTGAGTTCTTCCCACATACCCTCCAGGTCATGGAACACAGCCAGCTCCTGGAAGGTCTTGTTCACCTGGAGTCAGGTAGGGAACCAGATTCCGTACAAAGGGAAGAGAGGAAGAGGCAATGAGCATTCCAAGGACCCTCCCAACCAAAAAAAAAAAAAAAAAAATTACCCATCACAGAAACCCCTGCTCAGTCCTTTCCCTTCCTCAGGAAATCCCTCTTATAGCTAAAATTCAAACACTCAGAACTAGAGAGCTGGCTCCCAAGGTTACATGTGGGTTTTCTGACTATTTAAAAGTCTCATAAAGGCCATGAGTATACTCAACACACTGTATCTGAAGCAGCCTTTACTTCCTGCCTCTAATTCTGGGGAGATGGGAGGGGGGGCGGTTCTGGGGACAGAGTCCTAAGCCTAGACAGCTTACCTCAGCCATGACCTGCCTCGTAGCTGGAGTGTCAGGTGTATACAGAATCTTTCCAACAAGCAGCGGCTTGAGTGCCTTCCAAATAATTCGAGAAAGAGGACTGGACTCCAAGTTCTTCATCAAATCATTGCAATAAGGAGCTACAAAGAACACGGAAGACAGACACTCGCTTATATACATGGCCAGATAACAACAGGAACTGAGAAGTTGGAGCCACCCGGCCAGTGCACGGTTCAAATCCCCAGTCCACCGTCTAACAGTCATGCAGCAGATAACTTCCCTTATCTGAGCCTCAGTTTGCCCCACTGTAAAAAGAAAAGTTTATAACAGCTACTTGGCAGAGCTGTGAAGAGGATTAGCTGAGGTATTTCCTGTGAGGTCTCTAAAGCACTCCATACTTGAAATAACCAGGCCCTTCCTAAGACTCATAGCTGAGCTGATCTAGAAGAACATTCTGACTGTGCACACACCAACCTAACTCAAGCTCCATACCCGCATGCCAGCCCTCACACCTGTTTCCACTGAAAACAAATGGGACTCTTATTAGGGAAGCCAGAGGGCTGCGTTTAGACTTTAGTTTCAAGAGAAAGCCAAATATTTCCTTAATAATTAATAGATGTTATCACAAATGTATTTATACTTAATAAAAATTCAAAACTGAAATATTCAAAGTTCAAACGAACAAGGGGGCTTTGCTTTAGATACCATGGAACGTCTGTAAGCTTCTTGATAAATAGACGATATAATAATAGTAATAAGGATAATAGGAATGGGGGGCATCCTAGGGATCAGACCAGGGCCTCCCTCATGGTATGCAAGTACCCCTGGTTGTATTGTATCTCCAGAGCCAGAAGTTTGGCTTTTAAAGAAGACCTGGCCTCAAGTAGATCTGTTGTGTGAATGGGATGCCCCTGGATGGATCTGCACACTGGAGAAGAGCAGATGGCTTCAGAAAACTGCCTACACCACCATCTTCCTCAGGCGTGGAGAGCAACTTGTAAAGGTCGGCAGCGCTGTCCGCCAGCAAACACAAGGCTCTTGTGTTACAGCCACTCACGAGAAGCTGTCTCACGGCTGCACTTGGAAATAGAGAACGGCTCAGCTGTGCAGTGTTTTCAAGGACAACACGGCGTTGTCAGAACTCTAACACCGATCCCTGCTGTCGCCAGGCACAGGACACACATCCACACAGAATGGACCAAGTGTGGGAAGTGGATATAGAGTTTCAGGGTTCTCTAATGCTGTCTCGTGGCCCAGAATGCCAAACAAGCAGGAGATCAAGTGTCTGAGTGTGATGGTGCACACACGCTACCATTAACAAGAGAGTTTACCAGAAAAAGCCAGGAGCATTTGGGCTTGAATCCCAGCTCGTGGGGATTACCTAGGAATGCAGCTTTAACCAAGACACTTAACCTCTGATCCAATGAAATGTGAGGTTCCAGAACCTTCCTTGCAGGATTATTGTGAGAATGAAATAGGGTAATTTAAACAGAACTCACTACACAGAGGAAAATCTGCCTTAATGTTAGATTTTCTTATAGCTGTTGTAATTACTATTATTAATGTCACCCACTTTTAGGTGTTTATTCTAAAGCTTATCTCAATAGTAATACTAATAATACTTTTTGTTTAAAAAATCAACATCTCATTTTTAGAAACTTTTCTGACTTTTCTGAGATTTAACTGAAAAATAAAAATTATATCTATTTGAAGTATACAATAGAACACTGAGACATGAATCCACTGGGAAGTGACTACCACAACCCAATCAACTGATACATCCATCACTTCCTGCAGACATCTGCTCTGTCTGTGCAGTAACATTAAGATTAACTCTCAGCCAAGTTTAAAGGATAGCACAGTGCTACCCAACACTCACTACACTACCCACTTCCTCTCCAGAGGGCATTCATTTCACACGACTGAAACTTTATACGCTCTGACCTAACATCCCATCTCTCCATCACCCACTCAGCCCCCAGCAACCTCTCTTCTTACTAGCTTTGTGGAGTTTATTTTTTCTTTTTGTTTCCACATTATGAGTGAGTTCACAGATGAGGAAAACTGGGGAGACTGGCTAGCAATCACCCTGCTCATCTTTTTGATAATGCTACTGAACACCTGAGATGTTCCAGCCCCCCCAGTCAGAGAACTGAGAATGATTCACTCATCGAGGACTCTGCCATGTCATGAGAACAGAGAGGACGGCGTCTCTGCTACTCCACAGAATGAAGAAAAGCATGACACAAGCGAGCCGGGATAAGCTGGGGATGGGGACAAGGCTTCGGTGTGCACAGACACTCACTTGTGGAGTTGTCATAGAAGGTGTCCATGTCCTCCTCAGTGCTGTTGCCTCCAAAGAGGGCTTTGTAGTTGTTATCCTCGTACCAGTTGAGTGACTTGATCTTCAGCCCCCCGCCCTCTGGGTGACCACAGACGATGCGGGACACAGCCTGGTAGATCTGGGTGGAGGAGCCGGAGCCGTTCACGTTGGTCAGAAACATCACCTCCTGTCGCATGTCACTCCAGCTCTTTGTACTGAACAGCTGTCGGGGGTGCGGCCAGAGAAAGGAGAGGAAAGAGAAGAGAAGCCAACACTTCATTTTCTTAACCCAAAAGCTACGTCCCAGAGCACACCGTGTCTGACATCACTGTGAAGCCCTGTGGCGGTCAGCTGCCGTCGTCGTCTCTCCTCCATCTGGGACCTACAGCACTTGGTTACGGAGTTATCCCAAACTCGGGGCTCTCCCCAGCACCCGCCTGGCTCACAGGAGAGGGTAACTACCGAATCTTCTAGCCCAAGAAGGGTGGCTGTACTTGAGATCACCGGAGTGAACGGATGGACCCGCACCTTGCATTCTCCATCTGTCTCAATGTTCCTCACCTTCCCTCACCCTCACTGCAGTCTCTTCCTCGGTCCAACAGTCTGTGGAGACACTCTGCAAACATGAGGCCACATTACCTCCCTTGCTCTAGTTCCTCTGGCTTCCTTCATGGATCTTAAGCACGTCTTCAAGCATGGCCTAGCATCAGTGCTTTACACCTGCTGTTCTTCCTGCTAGGAGTGTCCTGACTTCTCTAGGAATACACCAGCACTGTCTTGGGAGGCGACTTATCCCACTCCCTTCAAAATGGCATCTCATCACTCTGTGCCCTCCTTGCATGGTCTCTTGTTTTCTCCGCTGCACAGACCCATGCTGTCGCATCAGCTGACCTGTTTATCTCTGATGTCTACCCTTACGTGAGCAAACGACACAGTGAGGTTACTGTGCTCACTGCTGAGTTGTAATAACTGGCAAGGCCAAGAGCCTCGCCTGTGCGGTGTGAGTGTCTGCGATACCACCTGTTTTCTCGGCCTTGTCCGGTATACCTTCCCTCTGACCCAGAAAAGACATTCACGTCAGCTCTCACTCATCTCATATCCCCACTGCCCAGTTGGCTATGTTTTTTGAGGGTCTCTAGCCTATTGCAGTCATCATAGGAGTTTGTGATGACTTCTTGGATGGAACAAACCAGAACATAGGCCTCAGAGTTTATAGGTCCCCAAGTTCAAGTTCCACTCTGACCAATGAACTCTCTCCTCGATGACTGTGGGCACAGCACCTAACTTCTGTGATCCACAGTGCCATCTGTGAAATGGGCACAACAAGAGGTACCTCACTGTGTCCTGTGGATAATGCAGGCAAATGAAGTCCCAGTACCATAATCCACCTGTGGTGTCCTTGTCATTTCCTGTCAACACTTGGGCTTTGAACATAGCAACTCACTTTCTCTCTAAACATGGACCAAGAAAATGTATTTCCTCATCATTACTCAGGAAAAGCAATTAAGTGACATGTGACCAAAGTGACATGAGCGTGATCTGACAGGAGAAGTGGACACCCATTGCTGATACTTGACCAGGAGTAACTGGACTCCAAGAGACAGGCAAAAATAATGTACACAATTCAGATGGACATTTTCCATCACATCAACCATGGAGCACATCATGCCCTTTTAATTATTTTGTTTTACCCCACAATAAAAGCAGAGACAATGATAGAAGAGAAAAAAGCTGGAACAAACCTTGAGCTTAGAGACATCGCCCCCACCCCTGAGCCACCCGGCCATCACTACTCCTGCTTTGCTTTCTCCAAGGCCAGAAATGAGCAGCAGGCAATGGGACAAGGAAGGGACAGACCTTCCAGAGCAGTGCACACATGTCAATGTCAACTCACAGGGCCCTAAGGGACTTGTAGGGCAGTTTCTCTTTCTGTCTTCTGGCAGAACCCCAACTGGTCCACCTTCTCCACCTATCCAAAGGTCACTTGCCCTCAGAACCAGAGGAACAAATAATAGGCTGACAAAGGTCTGCTCCTAAAGTGGGCACGAGAGCCAGCCCCTCTGTCAAAGACGCATGAACACAGTTAAAACAAGAGAGAAAGATACACAGTGATGCATTGTGCTCAATCCCAGGGTTTTCAGAACTCCCCAAATGTGTTGTTTGTTCCACGACCACCGTGAAATACTTCTATTGTCAGAAAACCAAGTATCTTTTGATATTTGGAGGGAAAAGGATGATATAAGCATGGGAAATGAGCGAAAGGATCAAAGGCTGGACCAAATCTGAGAAAATTTCCCCCATGAATTACTGTGTTCCAGTGTACTGAAACACTGTAGTCTGCTTTGTGTATGACAGCTGGAACAGACAGTGGCTGGGATTGGTGGAAAAGGTGATGTCAGGACAATGTCCACTCTGACACGTGACAACATGTAGCCTAAAGGCCAAAGCCGCTCAGCGTTCACTAGGAGACCATTTTCCCGAGGTTCAACCTCAAAGGCCAGATTTCACAAGGCAAAAAGGCAGGGTGAGGAAAGCCACACCATTCCTGTTGTTTTGATACAATGGCAGAATGCATGGCCTGGTTGAAAACCTCACGCAGAAGCTGCTGTCAAGCAAAGTCAACACACAGGGTAGGAGGTGGCATGAGAGAGGATTCTCCTCTTCAGAAATGCGCAGTGGCGCAGGGGCAGAAGCTCACAGAGAAAAGTCTAGTCTAGACGTGGGGCCCTAAGCCACTAACTACCTCTGCAACACTGATGCGTCTTAATTTCTTCTTCTCCAATGGAAACCAAAATAATTTTTAGATGACTTGTGCTTCTAAAATTTAACAGCACAGCATATGATGTTCAAAGTGAAAGGGCCATGTTAGCCAGACTCAGAACTAACTAAAGAAAACAGCAGCAGCTAGTCTGCTCACTTGGCTGAAAGGACACAACTCACCTCTTGGGCCAGCCCCGCTAGGCTGTCCAGCAATGTTTTGGTGGCTTCAGCCAGGTGGTGGGTCGGGAGAGATGTGGAGTTTAGGCTTGTCTGGAAAGAGAGGAGGAAAAAAATCCTTTGTCTCTGAGCTCAGATACAAGGCTGAAATCTCTAAATAGAAAATAAACAAGTAAATCAAAACCATTCCCAATCTTGAATTTAAAAAAAAAACAAGAAACCAAGTTCTAACCAAAATAGAGAACACTGTACAATTACTCTAACTGCATGCCTGCATGTTTATTTTTCTTCAGATAAGGATTTCTCTTTGATGAGTGATTGCAGAAATACAAATTCAAAGCTAGTGGAGCAGACAACATACAAAAAATATCTCACGTGGTGCACACACTTGTGTGTGTACATGCACATGCACGTGTATTCAGTTCTGACCAGAAAGTCCCAACTCTATCTACATTTCTGCAAGCCACATTTTAATAGACATGGCTTTAAGAAAAAAAAAAAAGTCTTTGATGGCTTGTAAAAAAAAAAAAAAAAAAAAAAGGAAGGAAGGAAAGGAAAAAATTCAACAATAACCAAAGCAAGAGAAGAATTATCTTTTTTGCTCTGTTGAGTCAGCACTATTTTCACTGTTTTGAACACTGAAAATTTAACACAGAACACTTTTTATATTAAGTGTTAGTCAACACCTTGTATTTACTAATTAATGTATTTAGTTGTTGTGATATATAACCTAGCTGCACCGCAAACATGAGAAAATAGTTAATTAGACCTAAAGGAAAGATAAATGATGACAGAAAACTTAAGGGAGGAAACCCACAAACTCTGAAACCAGAATAGCTGCAGAAGGAGGTCCAACTTCAATTCCATGACTAGGAAGGAAGGACCAGGAAGAAAACGTCCAGGGGGAAATACAGCGTTTCTCAGGGTTTTTTTTTTTTTTTTTTTTTTACAGATTCTGTTTTGTTTTATTCAACATTGTAACAAACACCTAGAGAGTTCCAGACTGTTTTGACAACACTTGTCAGGTCAGGGACTGCTGTGAAATTGTAACACTGAAGCTACACAGAAAGGGTCAGAGGTGGACAGGACTAACTGTAAGGAACAGCCTTGGAGATATTCCTCTACCTGTATTTTTGGATGTGTTATTTTAAAGTGAATTCCAAATACAGAGTATTGAGTTATGATCATCGTAATCTCAGTGGCTGACACAGTCCTGGAAGCGCATTACTAAGAAAATCTGCCTATGAAAGACCAGGCTGCAGCTGGACACACGGGCTCTCCTGGGAAGGCTTATCAAAAGTCAAGTCCCAGAGTTCCCACGCTCAGTCTTCCCAGGGACCTGTGGTCACCCGTAAACGCCATACTCAGGGATGTCTGTGATACACCTCCCAGATCATGGCAATGATGAGAGAGGAACTCGGGAGCCTAGGAACAGTGGGCAGCTGTTTTCACTATCTCTCTTCAGGTTCACTTTATAACTGAAGATCAGCCCAGCAGAAGTTGAACCTGTGGTTTTCCACAGTCAAGGAAATGCTTACATACTGATAGGTCCCAATCAGAAACGATGGGCAGTAAACTGGTTTTGTGTTCAACGTGGCCTACCCTCATGATAAGTGACGTTCAGGACTATAAAGCAAAAACAAACTGGACAAAACAAAATTGCCAACCTTATATGCATTTCTAAAATCTGAAATGTAGGTGGGTACATTTCTCTTTTGAGGTCTACAGAACCCTAGGCAAGTAACTCAAATCCCCCATGTCCCCATACCCTTGGCTATTCTGCCACAGAGGAGTAATATCTGCACATCACAGTGTTTCATAAACACTGAAAAGACACCTTCTAAGTTCTCTGAGCAGAGCTTGCCACACGGTAAGCCCTCACAAGCATAAACAAGTTCATCTCCCCCTTCTTTCCTTCCTTCAAATCTTACTGCCAGCTGTTCCTGAATGCAGACAGTTTCCTAGAGCTCGAGATGACAGCAGCCCTGCCTCTGTGCTTTGCCCTGTGTCAATCAATCAGGTCCACAAGACACCAAGTGCAAGAGCTATTTCTACCCTCAGTGGCATAGTGAGCAGTCAGCCCTATGTGGCTTCTGCATCTAAACAAATTGGCATCTTTATAAGTGGTGATTTTCCCTCTATCTGGTTTTTAATTCGGACAGTTTGGGGTAAACTTACTCTCCTTGTTTTTCAACAGTTCAAGACTGTAGGTATGAAGCTTCCACCTGCCTACGTAACCCTTGAGTGGAATGAGATGCAAACACAAGACCCTGGTTACCTCTGCCATAAGCACTGGACCTTAGGAGACAATGTGACTGTCAATAGTCAGTACTTTGGTCTGTTGACTTAACAGATGCACTGGGGTCCTGGCCTCCTATTGGCTAAACCGATCCATACATAATAAGGTATAGTTGTCAATGTCAATGTGCAGACTTTTTCACAACAGTTGTTTTTTAAAAACAACTCAGGGCTGATGAGATGAGCGAAGGAGCTTATTGCCAAGTCTCATGACCTGAATCTAACCACCAGGACTTACACAGTGGAAGGAGAGAACCGCCTCCCACAAACTGTCCTATGGTCTCCACGCGTATGCCATGGCAAGTGAATGCCACACATAAATAAAATGTAATTTTAAAATAATTTTTAAACAGATGTTCAGTATACTTTAACAGTATCAGCGACCTGCAGTTGATACAAACTGGTGTTGGAGGCACAGACGGATGTGATAGAGCTAATTAAAATACATGCATACAATTCAAATTCAGCATCAGTCCCAAGCTTGGGTTATCTAAATATTTTTTTGCTCCAAACTTCATTCTACTTTTCTCTGCTTGGATATTACAGGATACAGAGACGGTGCTGATGGAAATCAGCAGAAGGACATGTTTCATATTGACAGTCAAAAAGATAAGCCATTTGATAACTCCTCCTGGATCTGTTAGATAGTCATGTTTTCCACCTCACCTCATTATTTATAAATAAATCCTCAGCAGATGAAAGAGCTGAAAGAAAAATGAAAGTTTAAAACAAATTGGAGAAAATATTATTTATGAATTTGAGGTAAGGAAGAATTTTAATATAAAAAAGGATCCAGCCGGGCGGTGGTGGCGCACGCCTTTAATCCCACCAGCACTTGGGAGGCAGAGCCAGGCAGATCTCTGTGAGTTCAAGGCCAGCCTAGTCTACAGAGCAAGATCCAGGAAAGGCGCAAAGCTACACAAAGAAACCCTGTATCAAAAAACAAAACAAAACAAAAAAAGGATCCAACCAAAAAGAAGAAAGGGGATCTACATTTTAAATTTAAGATCTGTGTATTAAATGATACCACAAATGACCTTAAAAAATTAAGTCAAAGACTAGAATAATGTTTTTTTTTTATTTTAGTATAAAATGGAATACCAGATAGCAGTTAATATGAATTAGATCCACATGCATCAACACTGATACATCTCCAAAAACACAGGGCTTCACGAGAAAGAACAGGGACAGCTCTGCACACACAAACATATATATACAAGTGAACACATGCAAGCCTATACTGCGCACCGCTGTTGACAGAATTTAAACATATACAGTATAACGTATAAAAACACACAACTTCGGAATGGGGTGCCTTTGAGGAAACTGGGTGGCAGCCATGGCATCTACAGTTTAAGTCTTGACTACAATCTGAAGTAAGTCTGGCTGAATGACGGCTAGTGACCCACTGGTGATGTTTCTGTTATTCCTTTTTCCTCATTTTCTCTTTAATTCAATACAATTACAATAAAGGGGAAGTCTGACAGAGTGGGGATAAAGAAGGGTGGAATGCACGGCAGATCTAAAAGGCAGCTAACTCCATTAAATACAGTTAACCAAAGGAATAAATCAGGCCTTGAAACTTGAACACAGAATGGTGTCCTCATCTGCCATTGACTGTGACCTCCTGCTCACACTTCCTTGATGAAGGCCAAGTTTGCCACAACAGTGCTCCAAAAATCTCCAGGAATGTACTCAAAGTACTCAGGAATGCACAGCTCGGAATTCCTATTGTTTTTTTTTTCTTGACTGGGGACATCCTCTTGACTATGAATTCAAGTAAGTCCCTATTGTACACAGTAAGAAAAGTATTTTCTTGCATGGAGTAAAGAAAGGAGTACAGAAAAATAAAACATTTAACTAAGGACTGTACTTTCTATTATTTAGTCTAACGGGAATTCATGTATTGTTCGATATATTTAGAACATAACTAAATACCATAATATCATAGAACATTATTCACAAATTCTTACCTTATTACTCAAAGACTTCCACCCATTTTCTGTAACACGTGTTAATTATATCAGGGCAATATTTCCTAAAAGCCCCCAAATGGCAAAGGCTATTTTGTCCCCTTCCTTTCAGAGTCTCACTGACAACATCATCACTTCTTCTACGAGCTAGCTTCACAGTTATGAACCTAACAAAGCCCACTTGGCTTTCATTTCTGAGCTGTTTCTTTCTTTCTTTTTTTTCCAACACAGGGTAGTGCACACTTGTTAGCATATCACAATGAGGCACTCGGTAGATGTTTCCAGAAGAAAAGCTTAAAGGGGAAGAGACACATCTCAGAGGAGAGAAGCGAGCCGGTGTAATCCTACCTCAAAAGCCATGCAAATCCCCAGAAGTGCTCTGCTGTGCATCCCCTCACTAACCTCTGGAACCTGCCATGGTTACCCTTGATCTACAGATGACATTCAGTGCCCTGACATGGCTGACAGTCTGCCTCTGATCGACTTTGTCTCCTTCCCCAACATCACATCTCATCACTGCTCCTCCTGTCAATGACCCCAGCAGTAGTCCAGCCCACCCTGAGTGATCTCAGTGATGCACAGTTCCCCATATATCACCTTTTCTTCCCATTCCCCTCCAGACCCTGCAGATATCATATTTTCTTTTGGCAACATTCCCTATTCTTTATCTGGCCAACATCCATTGTTTAGGCCTCTAAATTGAAGACATTTTAACCTACTGAACCTAACCTGGGTTAGATGGTCATCACGACCTTCAAAGCACCTAGCATCTGTTGTTGCTACACAGCAACTGCACCTTTCCTGACTCATCCCGCCCCTTCC